AGCTGTGACTCAGACACTTAGCTGGATACTGGCTAAAGCTGAGATCTGTGTGAGTAAATTGAGAGGGAATATACCCCTGAGGTCAGGGGGCAAAATATGAACTGACCAACTACTGGGGAGTCCGTGAGATCCTAGGAAACATCCAACTAGCATGAAGATGGCTGGTGATGCAGTCAATAAGCATCATTAAAAGCTTATTGAAGTAGAATGAACACTTTAAGCAGATACCGTGATGAAGTATTGGCACCTTTGAACATCTGGCATGGTAAGGGTAGGGTATAGGGGATGCTCTGGAAGCCATAATTTGGTTGCAGTGAGATTCATCAGGCACACCTCCCAGTGTTTACTTTTTCTTTGGGAATTTTCTTTAACAACAAAGGTGTGGCATGTGAGTATGGAAGAGGATGATCATATACTGGAGGATCTGGCTGCAAGCTTATACCACGTGTTAGCCCTGAACTCTTACATTCTGAAAATGCTTTACAAAGGAAAACAACAATTATAATCTCCATGTTATAGACAGGTGAAACCATTTCAGTAAAGTCACATGACACTAATGGAACAGGTAATCTAGGTCCAGTGCTATAGCTGACTTATTACCTTTGTAGTAGGATCCAAGATGAACCAGGTGCTACACAATCAGCTAGAAAGGGACATATATTATAGCATCTGGAACTCAGGATAGATGTTTCCAAGAAAAGATTATATACAAATGAAGCCTCATTGTGAGTTTTGAATTCTAGGGCCATCAATTCAGTAAAGGCTATAATGTATTGAAAATATAGGTGAATATAAACAAGACTTCCAAATGTTAGTGCTAATCATTATAATATAGTAAAACTAATTATAACAGTATTTAGGGGGTTGTAAAGTATGAAAAGAGATCTTACACTCATTTGTCATATATAAATTTCATTTTTGAAAAGAAAATAAATAAGTTTCTTTATTACCCTACATTTCAGCATCGCTCTGATTCAAGCTGCTTCACATTAAATATTGATATTATCATTGAAGGCCTATGTCACAGAGCGAGATTTTCAGGGGTGGCCACGATGCCCTAGGCAGCTGTGACTGTGCAAGCTGTGTCCCAAGGGCACCCTCTTATCTCACCTGCCATGTCTTTGATGGAAAAATAACTCGGGAGGCTACCAACGAGCCTTTGCTTAATCTTGGTTCACCGAACCTTACTCAAGGTCTCTGATCTGTAGGCCCTTTGCCAGGCCTCTCTTTGGTATGCTGCATGAGACACCTCAGGCCTTATGGGCCAATTCCATAGCTCCAACCATCCCTTTACCACACCCCATGCCTTGAGGGTGTTACATTGTTGTTATGCTCTGTTGGGGCCTTGGCGTACTTGGACTCTGCCTCTTTGATACAGCTATGCCTTCTAGCCTAGACCCAATGTGTTGGGTCTGGCTTTGAGGCACTATCCCACAAACTCCTCTTATTACTGAGCTCTTGGCCCTTGCAGCTTGTGCATCTCTGGTGCTGGGGCTCTACACAGTTGTGTGACCCCAGTGAGGCCTCCTCCTGGTCCATCAGTTCAAACAATAACACAAACCTAAGCCCCTGGGCTACAACATAACCTTAGTAATAAAAGCAGCACTCTGCTCCTTTAAGAGGGCCAACTCCCACCCTTAGAATACCAGGCCACTTTATCTCTGGGCACCTTGTGAGACCCTAGAGTCTTACTGCATTCGGAGGTAGCAGTGCAAGCAGCCAGATGCATTAGGCCACTCTTTTGTGCAAGAGCTCCTTCCTTGGCAGTTGCCAAAGAAAGAGTGACCCCCGGCCAGCCTCAGCCCTGAGCTTATATGTGCCCTAGGCTCTGACTCTTTTGGGTCAGCTGACCACCTGGAGGTGCCAGCTAATTACCTTGTTAGCCTGTTACTCAGGCACCCTGCAACTGTGGGGCTCTGTGTAGCCAGTTGGGCTCCTTTGCTAATCTGTTTCTGCTCTTAAAGGTGCAGGCACCCCTTGGTTACCTGAGACAGCCTACTAGAAAAGTAAACTCACTAATAAGAGAATGGTTTGGAATCCACCTGTGTATCATATTGGTACAGTGGGTAAAAGAGATATAACTATAAAAACACATCCATGCATAAAAACTATTATTTGAATAGAAAAATGATTGGAGGTATTTATTATGCAGATATACCCACATCGACACTGTACACCTGGTACAAAATGTAAAAGGTTTCAGTGTATTTTGACACTCTTTGCTGTGAAAATAGCAGTTATGCAGACTTTTCATTTTACTTGTCGTAAATTTACTTAAAGACAATGATCACGTACTATATGAGTCATGTTGTTTTGACCATTTAATATGATCTTCTCAATAATATGTTCAGTTTGACATGGCTATAAACATACTTCTTAATAGCTGACTGAAAGGAGGAAAAATGGATGAAGATTGGGAGGGGTTAGATCAGAGTCTTTCTTCACTGGCATCAACTATCTTTTTCTCAATATCAGAATTCTGTACAGAATATGACCATTATCTTTCAATGACTTAGTCATATACGTAACTTTTTGCATTGTGAATAGTCTTAATAAATACAAGAATAAGGAACAAAAAGGATACTTTGCATAATAAAATAAGACCATGTACCAAGGAGTAATTAGGAGTGCTGGTGCCCTGGGCAGGGGTGAGGGGATACCAAATGTCAGGAGAAGGGGACAGTTCTTACTTCCGTAAACTGGCTCCCTAGCTGCTGTTATTACTGCCCACAGTGGTCCACTACTGCCAAACTGAGAGCTCCCCAGAGTTCCCTAGAGGCTGCCATTCTGGTACCCCCTCTAAATCAATGTGCAGGACTAGTACCCCACTTGCCCTCCCCTAATTACTCTAATGATGAGGTAGACTGTCAGTATGAGTGTATTATTATACATTACCTCATCCAAGGTGGTACAAAATACAAGGAACTTAATATGCTAAAGTTGGGGTACGAGATACTCTTCATCCCAGAATACTGAAAAGTCTGGCACTTGAAATCACAACTCTGGTAACAAGGATTATTAATGTCTAAAAATTCAGGGCTGGTTGCATAAGACTGGGAAATAAAAGATGTAGTGGCAGACAACTACCAACCTGATCCACCTAATCTGATACCAATAGTATAAAATGCTGCAGAATAAATTTTGAAGGAAAGAACAATTAAAACATTGAAGTGAATGGAAATGGGACAAGATACAAGATGGGTTTACCAAAGGTAGATAATGCTAGACTAATATGTTATATATAACTGGGTTTTTTCCAACAAGGAAAAATTAGCATTTCTGATCTCTCAGGACTTAGTTTCATAGTTTCTAGGGTCAGAAGGGACCTGAACAGATCATCGAGTCTGACCCCCTGTGCTAGGCAGGAATGAGTGCTGGGATCATAATACCCCAGCCAGATATGTATACAACCTCCTCTTGAAGACCCCCAAGGTAAGCAAAAGCACCACCTCCTTCCAGAGCCTGGCAACCCTAACCATAAAGTACTCCTCCTGATATCAAGCCTGAACCCAGTCTCAGTCAATTTGTGGCCATTATTCCTTGTTATCCCAGGTGGTGCCTGGGGGAACAGAGCCTCACCTATTTTCTGTTGGTCCCCCCTGGTGACTTTATAGACAGCCACCATATCCCCTCTCAGTTTTCTCTTGTGGAGGCTGAATAGATTTAGGCCCTTTAGTTTATTGTCATAGGACCTGGCCTACTACCCCCTGACCATACGGGAGCCCTCCTCTGGACCCTGTCAGGGTTAGCCACATCCCTCTTTAAGTGCAGTGCCCAGAACTGGATGCAGTACTCCAACTGCAGCCTGACCAGCACTGCATAGATGGGAAGGATAACCTCCCTGGACCTGCTTGTGATGCATCTGTAGATGAACGATAAGGTATGGTTAGCATTACTGACCGCTTCCTCGCACTGGCAGCTCATGTCCATCCTGGAGTCAACAATGACTCCAAGATCCCTTTCAGTCACTGTGCTCTTGAGAAGGGAGTTCTCCAGCCTATAGGTATGATGCAGGTTCCTTCTCCCTAGATGCAGCGCTGTGCCCTTGTCTGCATTGAATTCCATTCTATTCTCATCTGCCCACCTCTGTAACCTGTCTAGATCTAGTTGGATTCTGTCCCTCCCCTCCAGTGTGCCCACTTCTCCCCACATCTTTGTATCATCAGAGAATTTGGACAGCGTACTTTCCATGCCCACCTCCAAGTCAGTGATAAAGATATTGAATCACATAGACCTGAGGACCAAGCCACTCCACTGCCCACATACCTCCAAGTCAAAAACGACCCACCCACCACCATTCTCTGGGTGCGACCATTGAGCCAATTTGCCCCCCCATGTGACTGTGTAGGCATGAATGCCACAGTTGCCTAGTTTTTTTTTAATGAGAATGGGGTGAGAAACAGTGTCAAAGGCCTTCTTGAAGTCCAGGGAGACAACATCCATCACAATGGCTGCATCCAAGGACTTTGTGACCTGGTCATAAAAAACCTTCTGTCAAGTCTAACATGGGAAATCATTAGGTAAACTGGGGAAAATAAGTACTTATACAAACACTGTAAAATGTGATAGAACTAGCTAAAAGAAAGTTAAAAGTGAGCTGTGTTGAAAGGGAAACTTGATTTGCAGGAAGGTTATGTGTGGCGTTCCATAAGTGTCAGTCTAATTTTGAATCATTTCATTAATGATCTTGACACAAAAATTGGAAGTGGTGTCAGTAATCCTTCACAATTGAGGATAATCACTCCTATGGGTCAAGTAAAGGGTTGTAAATGAGTCCATTGATGGCCAAGAAGGCTGATCCTAGAGCTACAGACTTTCTGGTAAGCACCACAAGAGGTGATTAAAAGGAGGGTCGGACCATGGGTTTCTTGGTTTTGTTTCCTTTCCTTCCATTTCTGTTGTTTTTCTGCCTCCTGGGTGAGTCAGTTTTCCTCCAAGTAAGCTGTACCTTCTCTCACAAGGTGTTGCCATGTAGGCCTGTCCCGGGCTAGTTTTTCCCCATTTGTGGTATCAATGCCACATTTCTTAATGTTCACCTTAAGGGTGTTCTTGAAACATTTCCTCTGGCCCTTATGTGTCCTTTTTCCCTGGACAAGTTGGGAGTATAGCAATTGTTTTGGTAAACATGCATCAGGCATGCTCACACAGTGCCCTGTCTACCACAACTGATGTTGAATAATCAACACTTCCATACTCATGGTGTTAGCATCAGTGAGGACACTGGCATTCATATGATTATCCTCCCACTTTATGCCAAAGATGTTCCAGAGATAGTGCTGGTGATGGTTTTCCAGGCTTTCAGGTGATCCCTGTAGATCACCCAAGCTTCACAGCCATAGAGAAGAGTTCAGGTTACCACAGTCTTATATAGTAAGAGCTTTGTTCAAGTCCTGATGTCATACTCATTGAATACGTGATGATTCAGTCTTCTGAAGGCTGGCATATCCATGTGCCAACTCAGTCTTTGATGAGCTGGGACAATGGATCCTATACTGGATCTCTTTGTTGATGTTGGCTGTCTTTAAAGATAGCTACAAAAGTATACAAAGTGTTCAACATTCTCTAGCTCCTGTCCATCAGTGAGGATCTTTCCAGCAAAGTTGATTAGCCAAGATCAGGGAGCAAGCTGGTGAAGCACCTTTGTTTTTCTGATGTTAGGGGTCAGTCCCAGGCACTGGTATACTTGACAGAAGCAGTCAAGGGCCATTTGTAGGGCATCCTCAGTATGTGCAATGACAGCACCATCATTGGCATACTAAAGTTCCACAACTGAGGCCAGTGTAACTTTGGTTTTGGCATGGAGGTGGGAGAAACTGAAAAGATTCCTGTACATCCTGTACTTGATGCTGATGCCATGTGGCAGATGGTCATGGATGAGCATTTTGATGACCATAAAAAGACAGAAAATAGAATAGGTGCAATCACACAGCCCTGCTTGATGTTAGTTTGAATGGCAAAGGGCTAAATAGAAGAGCCACTGCACAGGATGGAGGCAGTCACCTGGTCATGATGGAGTTTTAGGATCATGATACATTTCCCTGGGAAGCTAAACTTTAATAAGATCTTCTGTAGAGCCTCACAGTTAACAGAGTTGAAGGTTTTGGTCAAATAAAAAAAGGTCACTTTAATAAAGAGACACAAAAATCAGGAGCTGATGAAATACTTCAGTGGCATAAAGTTGGGAAAGGTTGTCAATACAAAGGACAAGAGGCCTTGTACCAGCCTTGCAGTAATGGGGACAAAAAAAATCCTAATTAGTTTAAAGATATTGCTTGGTAAGTTTATGATAGGAATTATATGACAAGGTTGCCTGTAGTAGCAGGGAAACACACACAATGATCCTGGAGATCCTTTCCAGTACTATGTTCATAAATGCATGTTTATAAGTTTGGAAAGCATTTTATACAGTATTAGCTTTAACTCCAGGTATAGCACTTAGCTTAGAGATGGCTATATTGATCCAAGTTGAACCCAATATCTTGTTTTGTTTTTTTCACATGCATAAACTTATACAAATGTTTGTATTTTGCACAATCATGACCTACATTCTGAGAATAGTGTATAAAATCAATGTTAATTATGCAGTTGTAAATGTCTTGTAGCAAAGCCCTGTGATGAGTGCCCTGCAAATTTGTACACTAGCACCTAAATTGCACAGAATGACTAGAACAGCAACACAGAATTATTGTTATTGCTGATAGGATTTGCTAACTTGAGCTGTAGTCTGTCCTTCTTCTCTGAAGAGTAGCCATCTCAGATCAAAAGCTTCACCATACTTGAGTTAAGGTCACAATATTCAAGCTACCCCTGCAAAGACAACAATCCCATTTTGTATAAACACTACAATGTAAAGGCATACCTATTTGCTTGAAATGAAGCGAGAAGGGACATGCCTATTATTATTTTTAGCTATGTTATCTAAAAAGGTGAATGCAGTAGCAAGTATTAAAAAAGAATGAAAAAACAAATTGTTTGGGTTTTCTGAGAAGTATTACTGCCTATAGGCTTTTGGGCACAATTTGTTTTTCTGACTTCCTTTTCCTCTATGCTCAGTGCTGGATATCAACATGTAATATATGATAGTCTTCTGTAGTTTCTTGGAATACTTTTCATTTCATTTTAACCCAGAAATCACTAACAGAATATGCTACTGAAATGCCTGGCATCTTATTGAACATTCAATATTTTGTTGAACTCTCCTCCTCTTAGCTTACTGCCACAGGCTACTACTCTTCAACAAAGCTCCCAAACATAATACAGATATGAAAATGCAAAAAAGAACGTTTATAGTCATACCCCTTGTCAGATTATTTCAACCATTGGTCAAAACTCAGTCCTAGAAACATGACATATTTTCACTACAGCAATCTATCTAGACTTTACATACTAAGGTAAATTATACCAGGATCCAGGGCAAACAAGCTGGTATCACCTGCATTATTACAACAACTCACCACTAAGTGGTAGGGGAGCAGGTAGTCATCTGTTTGCTCACAGGAAATGTACTCATGCCCACTCAGATCTGCCTCTTCTATTCCCTGCATCTTCAACTCTTTTTTTCCCTTGGACATGTGAAGATAGGCCATGTGGAGCTTGTTTCTTCTTTTACTCCTCATTAGATAGCTACAAGATCTAGAGGGGATTCATAGGGAAGATGCTCTTCTATATGTCTCTTCTTGGCCAATGAGTATTTGGACCTTATTAAACAAAGGATTTATTACAGATGATAAAAGGAGATTTTACAGGCATGAAACCCAGAGTTTACCTCTGATATCTAAATTTCTAAGCAAAAAAGGCTTTATCTGTTTTTTTTTATATTTGTATCAGAGCAATTATATTAGCTTTCACTGTCCAACAATTTACATGGTACAAGACAGACTAGAATGAGGGTCCCAATTCCATATTAAATTTGACAATTGTGTGTAAAAACTGTTCGAAATTTAGCACCTTGTGAACTGTACTTGTCACTTGCACTCACCTTGTCACATAGGAAACATGAGTCATAGCAAAACAATTAAAAACTGGTATAATTGTTCCATCCAGCTACACCCCCTAATCCAGGGGCAGGCAATGATTTTGGACAGAGGGCTGCTTACCCAGTTTTGGCAAGCTTTTGAGGGCCACATGGGTAGCCCCGCCCCTTGACAGGTGCCTCACCCTCTGGTCACCATCTTGGGACCAGTGTCCCAATGTCTTGGGACCAATGTCTCAGGGCCAGCACCGGCAGGGCCCAGAGTGGGGTGCAAGCTGGTGGGGGTCTGTGTAGCTGGGCTGGGCTGTACCAGCAAGGAGAGGGGGAGCTGGCTCAGCTCCATAGAGCCCCTGCCAGCCAGGACACTGTAGTCCTTCTGAACTGCTCTGGGCCCCACCAGCGCTGGACCTGAGACACTAGTGTAGGCCCCATGCTCCCACTGGCTCCCACACCTGCTCACTCCCAGTGACCCCCTAGACCCATAGTACAGGCAGGGGGCAGTGTGCAGCCCTGATCCCCTGCTTGCTGGCAGGGAAAGAGTTGGTGCTTAGTGTTGGGAAAAGTGGCCCCTAGCCCACCCCGTGACAAGTGCTTCCTGCTGCAGCCACTCGCAGCCTGCATGGGGCTGTCCTGAGGAGGCACAGCAGCCCCAGGTGGGCTGCGAGTGGCTGCAGCATGGGGCACTGGCCATGGGCCACTTCTCCCATGCTTAGCACCAACTTGTATCCTGACCCTGCTCCCAGCCTGGGACCCACTCTGGCTCTAGGCTTGCCCATCAGGGCTGCACCATAGCAGCAGCAGCTGCTTGGCATGGAAGAAAGTGGATCCCCCGCTTGCCATGCCAGGCAGTGTTTGCCACCACTGCCTCTGGGCTGGCCAGTGCACAAGCTTCGGCCAGGCAGCAGCAGTAGAAAACACTGCCTGGCATGGCAAGTGGGGGGGCTGCAGCTGCTGCTGCTGTGGCGCAGCCTCAGCAAGCAAGCCCGGAACCAGTGCAGGGCCCAGGCTGGCTGCGGGGGTGGGTTACAAGGTGGTGCTGAGCACGGGAAAAAGCAGCCCGTCCCCTGCCCTGTAGCTGGCACCCCACACTGCAGCAGCTCACAGTCTGCACTGGGGCTGCCTGTGCCTGCTCAAGACAGCCCCATGCGGGCTGTAAGCAGCTGCAACAGGGAGTGCCAGCCATGGGGCAGGGAAGGGCCACTTTTTCCTGAACTCAGCCTTTCCCCAGGCTCCTTCTCTGCTTTTCTCCACTCCCCCTTACCTGAGTTTCCAACGCCTGTACAGCCGGGGAGCCAAGTGATCCCAGACCAGAAGCCCCTGCTGGGGCTTCTGGCTGATGGAGGAGCAGACCAGGGCTTCCTCTGGGTCCTACTTCCCCTAGCTCCTGTCATTTTGGACAGAAAGCAAGGGCAGATAAATATTATTTTTCTAAATTTTTTAGGGGCCCCATGGGCTGGATAGAATGGCCTTGCAGGCTGGAAGCAGCCCGCACACTATATTTTGCTCACCCCTGCCCTAACTCGAGTCAAATATAAAATGTAACTCAGTGGGGAGAGAACTTAGAGCAGTGTAGGGTCAATCCATTCAATGACAGTTTGAGATTTCCTCTCATTGGAGGAATACTTGGATAGTCATGTAAGCCAGACTATTTCATGGAATCATAGGAAAGTAGAGCTGGAAGACACTTTAGAAATTCATCTAGTCCAATCCTCTTGACTCAGAAGATGGACCAATAACCAAACCTGTTGTGTGCTAGCTGCAGCAAAAGGATAGTGGGCAGGAGTAACTGGGACATTGTAATTTTGAATATACCTAGACTTGAGTCCCTAATCATCGTAAATGACTGGGATTTATCTCTCTGTGTTTGCAGCTCTTGAAGGAATTGTGCCCAAGATTTTTAGATTTCTTAGAATTTTAGATTTCTAACCTCTGTAGCAAATGAATCATTGCCAGGGACTCCACAGAAGAGTTCTTTCTTGAGACCTCAGCCCTTAGAGGCTCTCTTAAATGTTCTTAAATGCCTCTGAAATTCATCCAAGATATAGGGAGGGTGTACCCATGATGCCTCAGACTAACACTAGGCTCTCAGACTTCTGG